GAAGGGGCGAGAAAGCATTTTTTTTTGAGCGAGTTCTAGCCAGAAAACCTTGATTTCTTTTTTAGCTGCCTTATCGCCGCAATTACCCTTGGCGGTGAATGTTTCCTTTGTACTATTTTTGGTTTCCTGTCATATGTCCTCAAATTATCGAATCTGTTCCGAATTCTGCCGCTTTTCGTTGAAACAGACGGATCACTGACATTTGTTTTCAGCGCGACATCGAATTTGTTGCCAAGCGATGGAAGTTGACTGGGCGACCAACCATGTGCCTGCTACTACGTGAGGAAAACATTGTGGGAGAGTATTTTGAACACATTTTGGATCTTCTTGTGCAGCTGAAAACTGGCCATGTTGACGGAATTCGAGTTCGAGTTGGCAGAGTTCATGTAAGCATTCTCATCATCGGTAGCTTTTTTTTGAAAGGTCGAATACCATTATTATCAGAAAGTAGAGCATGACATGTGGTAAACAAAGGTGGAGAGCAAGTACTGGCTGATGCTGGTTGATGTTGCTGCACTGATGAACCCAAGAGTGACTGAGTTATTCAAGGGATTAACTGCAGATGCAGTTTTGTCATTTGTTCTCAAACTGTAAATGGCTAGTTCCAGAGAGGCCTACAATTGAGGGCGATCCTGTACGATGGCTTTGAGGACTACTAGGTTGTTGGGAAAATAACAGCAATCAGGAGTCTCCAACTGGAAGCTCATACTAACTTATGAGAAATGAATTCACACACAGTGGTAGCCATCATGGTCCAGAAGCCTCATTCTTGGTATTCCGCTCGCACTCTACTTCCATTCAGAATCGCAGTAGCATTTTGAATACTATATGACCTATACATCACTTCCGGGGTGGGTAGCTAGCCGGTGTGCAAGTCTGTTTTGTCCTCTCACAGCCAGAGGAATCTGGTCCCAGTTTACGTCCCCGCAGGGGAGAAGGATTTTGCGAGTTCGTGCTGAGATTTGACCTGTGTGTCGCGTACAACACCTTCGTCGCTTATTGTATACCCTTCCCATAAATGCGCTCCGACGATGCTTTGGCGGATGAAGTGCATCGAAACCTAAAATTACCGAGTTCCGTTCACACAGTTAACATTGTCAGAACATGAGTCTCAACATTTCGAAGGGCAGAAGCACTGCACAAGCACAGGCACAGCATGGGATGTAAATGAAACTTTCTGCTTACAGCAAAACTATTCGTTTTGGGCCTTTTCAGCAGCTTCTGAACACAAGTTGTATCGAGCATA